AACTTCACTTAATCTAACAACAATTTAGGAGGCGGGTTACTATCACTAGCGTCACCATCATCATCATCATCATTAGTAGCTATAATAATCAGAGTCAGAATAATACTATGCTCATTTTCTAGATAACTAAACTATGGTTTACAAAGCTTAAGTAACTTGCCTCTAAAACTTTATGCCTCTTGATGGCTTACAAAGACATAAAATAAGTCATGCTTACCAAACCTTGGGGAGCCCAGTGGCTCCATACAATAAGAACTGGACTGCGAACCATAAGGCCAACAATTCAAGTGTGCCAGCTGCTCCATGGGAAGAAATTGAGGCTTTCTGCTCCTGCAAAGATTTAAAGCCTTGCAAACCCTATACAAAATGCTATGACTTAGGAACCAAATTAACTGCATTTAACAGCAACAACAAAACCAAACATTAGCTTAAACGCACACCACCAAAGTGATGTTTTTTACAGTAATTTAACATTTTTTACATTACTTAAGAACTGGTCACAAGTATACAAGGAGATTAGCAATCTGCCTTTTCAAAATAATAAGAGAGAGACATTTGCATTCCTATATAGCAAGGTAATCCAAGTAAGTGTTTGCTGGCCTATGAGGCATAAGAGCTACTTTTCCTCTCTCTAAATTCCAGTAAAAATATGTGGTTGCTCAGACACTTACAAGATAAATGAATCTTAATTTCCTATCTGGATTTCTACATACACCAATCCCCACCACCCACCCCCAAAAAAAGATAATGTCTCTACACACAGTCAACAAAGTATTCCTTTTTTGTAAACTGTTTGATTCAATCCAACTCTTGAAAGCAGTTATTGACTGAGTTGTTTGTTTACCTTCATACACTTTCATTTGGATAGTACTTTCTAGGGCAGACGTTAGCAATTCACACATTCAGTGAGCAATTGTTGCATTCCATAACTTTCTGGTTAAAATTGCTAATAATGTATTGAGTATTCACTATACAGCAGGTACTGTGTTATGTGGTTTATTATTAATCTCATTTTACAGAAACAAAGAACAGTTAGGTAACTGCCCATGGTCATATCATTAGTGAATAGAAGAGTTAGGATTCAACTCCTTTAAAATAGCTGTGTCGAAACTAATCCTGTCAGATGCAGTGCTGAAAGATGAGCCCCTAAGGTTGGAAGGCACTCAAAATGTGTCTGGGGAAGAATTGCCTCCTCAAAGTAGACTTGACTGTGCTGATGCGAATGAAGTAAAGTCCTCAGGACCTTCATTTGCTGATGGGGCACAAAATGAGGAGAAACGGCTGTAAACATCTACTAATAATCAGAACATGGCATGTACGAAGTATGAATCTAATAAAATTGGAAATTGTCAAAAAGGAAATAGAACACGTAAACATCGATATCCTAGGCATTAGTGAGCTGAAATGGACTGTGATTGGCCATTTTGCATCTGACAATCACATGGTTTATTATGGTGGGAATGACAAATTGAATAGGAATGGCGTTGCGGTCATCGTCAGAAAGAACGTATCAAGATGGTCATGAAGTATGACGCTATCTTATAGAATAATATCCATACTCGTACAAGGCAGACCAGTTAACACTACTATGATTCAATTTTACACACCAATTTCTTCAGTCTAAAGTTGATCAAGCATGCAATCAAGATCTATTGATAATTATTGACAATTGAAATGCATAGGTTGGAAACAAAGAGGAAGGATCAGTAGTTGGAAAATATGGCCTTAGTGATAGAAATGATGCTGGAGATCACATGTTAGAAATTTGAAAGACCAATGACTTCTTCATTGCAAATACCTTCTTCAGACAGCATGAGAGATGACTATACACATGGACCTCACCAGATGGAATACACAGAAATCAAATTGACTACTTCTGTGGAGAGAGAAGAAGGAAGAGCTCCATATCATCAGTGAAAACAAGGCCAGGGGCAGATTATGGAACAGACCATCAATTGCTCAT